GGGGGGGGGGGGGGGGGGGGGGGGGGGGGGGGGGGAAGGTATAGGGAAGGATTCGGAAGTAACTCGAGTCAACAACCGTCCAGAGGTAAGGTTGTCGATGGCTACCGCTTTCGAGCGCCGTTTAGAAACAAATTAATGGTGCTCTTACTTTTTAATATATACTAGCACTAATTTACTACCGAAACGAAGGAACCAATCTTAGAGGGCTTGGTTGTCCCACTGGCGGAATTGAACCTTCGACCTTCAGCACGAGAACATTGAAAAGTGCCACTATGCTCATGCTCGTCAGTTGACCAAAAAGACTACAAAATTTGAGTATCGTAAAAAATTCGTTTAATTCACGCCCTAAACGTGCTACTCTGTTCACTTTGTAGCATGTTTTGTGCGCAGTGGTCAGGCTTCTAACAACACCGAATTTATCTACAATATTGCCATTATCGTTTTTTGTTGTATATGTCTGGTTATATCAATAGCGTGTTATGGTGTACTGATACGAATAATTTCCGGAATTATTAAAGCGGATGCTTCAGTTAGTTTGCAGTTTGCTTTTTACTCTCTTCTTTCTCATTTTTTTTTTTAGCAAATGACTACCCAGCAATACAGCATTGGTTCAAGCAACTAAGAAAGCTGCCAAGTCCACTGCTTGAGAAATTTAGATTATGGCTTGCAGCAGATCAAAATATCTACATAAAATTTCTCTTTTTTGGAATTTTCTAGACTTTTCGATTTTACCTCCAACAAAATTACCGTTTAAGGATCAAAGGGCAACGCTAGCAAGTCGAAAGCTCCAAGGACGGGTTAAGGCAAGGAGTTTAATTTTATCTCAGAGCCTTTTGATCATTTGTAAAAAAAAGGTGCTACAGTCACCTTTGTTTTTAAAAAGTCGAAATACCCGTTATAAGAAGCACAGACGCGTGGAAGTAACCCGACCGATAGCAACTGCCAACAGCTGTCGTCCGCAGGCTTTCGACGAGTCCCTTTATTCAGCTAATGGCGGGTTTAACCATTTTTTATGCAATTGTATCAATTTACCATTGAAATGAGTCAGTTTACTTTATCCCTGTTATCTACAAAAAAAGTAGAAGTTTACTAACTTCGAAGAAGAGCTGGCTTTATTGAATTTCTAAACTGTTGGATTTCAGATAGCATCCGACACCTATTATCCAATTAGCGAAAAAAACGGTAAGTACAGTAAAAAATTGGAGACTTTGCTTCCTCAGTTTTCCGTATTCCTTCTTTTTTAAAGTGTGAAATTCTACATAGAAATTGCCAGAAGTGCCTAAGAGCAGAGCCACAAAAAATGGCTGTCGACTGGTTTTAAGACCAAAAATGTTTCTTTGCGTCAGAGCGAAAATATTAATTGCTTGCTGAGACAGCTGCAAAGAAAGTGCTATCACCAAGGAAGTTATAATGGGTGGACTCTTTTCGTGGTTTTTTTTAGACGATGATGTGAGGTATTTTTTATTCTTTCATGTAACATTTAAGCAGGCGTGATGCAGTGGTAAGTGGCATTGTTTTCATGCCGGAGTAGCTCAAAAGAAAACCTTTTTTTGAGTTCCAATTACTAAAAAAAGTACCCTCTGGGTTTTGAATGCTAAAGAAGTACTCAGTACTCAAAAAAGACAGTATTCTGCGCTTCTAAAAAATCTGTAAAATCTCTAAAGCTATTGAAGTTCACCTTTCTTGACCACCCGAAATTTGTTACACATGTGTCCATAAATTACTTTTGAAGTGAAACGCCTGATTTTTGATTTAAATGCCACCAAGAATTGACGCTGATAAACGTAGTTTCTTTGATTAGGTGAAATACATCGAACGAGGAAGCAGTTGCTAAAACGCAACAAGTATGTGATTGTAATTGGCAGTGTTCTGGTTATTTATACTGTTTATCTTATTTCATATTCAGCTATTAAATTTCTATTCGTCAGCAGGCTCAAAAGGTTTGCTTAACTCACAAAAAATCTATTTTTTCCAAATGTTTCCTAATGGCGGCTGTTAGGAGAGCATAGTTGCTGTCGGCACCTGCTTCTCTGTTCGACTACTTTCCCGTAGAATTTCAAGGCAATCTCGCTAAAAACTAGTAGTGTTGAAAGGATGTGCTGCACGGGATGAAGCAGTCAGACGATATAGAACATGTATGGTGGTGCCACACATACAGGATGTAGGTGCTCCAGCGGGTACCTGAAGCATGAGGGCCGGTGGCACAGTGGTAGAATAAGTAGTGTCCAGACGTGGGGATGGGTTCGATTGGTTTGATTCCCGCTTGGTCCATAAACATTTTCAAAAAGGGAATTCGTCTGTAAGATAGTAGTGAATCATAGATTTGATATTCATGTGGCATAATTTGCAAAACAAGTTATCACTACAGTACGTGTTCGAAACGAGAAGTAGAAAGTATGCGAGTTTTAGGTTTTCCAAAAAAATTCTACCAGTAAATACAAATTTAACTGAAGAACGCTAAAATCCGTTCGAAAAGTGTAAGCCAAAGAGAGACGGCATATTTGGTAGGCCGGAACCCAAACGCGTCGAAAGTTTACTGGAGCCAGAAATTTGATCGAAGAATGAAACACTGGCAAAAGTCGCCTCGTCTAGTGATTCCGTTTATGTTGGTGCCTAAATTTTTCAGATAAACAATATAATATGTGAACATATTTGCAGAAACACATGCAAACAAATCAACATGCGCACTTAACCGTGAAATTAAATTAAAAAGAAGCAAAAAAACATATGCATAATTGTAATACGTAAAAAGACGCAGAAACACGCGCACACATACACAGACAAAACATACAAGTATACATAAAAACACGTTCACATACACACATTTGAATTTAGTCCCAGACATAAAGCTTTTTGAATATTCACAAAAAAAGCGTAAACCCACATGCAAACACGCACAAAAGTACATTCAAAGACACCCACAAACAAACATGCGCACAGACACAAAAAACACACAAACACACGAGCGCACACTTTTAAATCATGTTCAAGATTATTTACAGTGTTAAGGTAGTTTACAGAAAAAGGAACGTTGTTTCAAAATTTTTCAGCTCACGGCTGGGAATTTCAAGAACTGGTATGTACTATGTACGTTGGGCTTTTCAAACAATGATGTGTTTACATGCACTGCTCCAACCGCTCTGCTACTTCCGAATGAGGGAATTTCGAAACGTTTTCAAAAAGTGCGCTTATTATCCTGGATTTTATGCTTTCTTTTAAATATTTACTTTGCAGAAATGACTTTTTGACTTTTTCTGGAGAATTTCTTTGTGTTTTAGAAAACGAAACAATTGTGAAACATTTTTCAGCTTGATAGTTTGACGCTCAACATACAACAATTATATTTTAAAGCAGCTTTTAGCCATTTTTGACTCGGCTCTTCTGTTGAAAACGCAGTTGAGCTGAAAACCTCTGCAGCTGCAAGGGGCGAACCGAGTGTCGGGATCGTTATCAGGTTGACCACTAGGCAATGCAGCATTTAGTCAAAGCAACTGGGAAAATTACTAGCTGTACAACTGGAGTAACAGGTCACTAATACAGTTAGCCAAAACAACAAAGTATGTGAAATTCGAGCTGGAAGTTCATTTTTTCGAAAGAGTTGATGAAGTACGCAATTAAACGAATTTTTCGACTTCTCCACAGCGCAAGCTATTTTCCTTTTGAAGCGTCATCCGGGATGCTTTCAGGCTTCAGGGTCTGTACGCTCAGTTTTAGTCAAAGTCCTGGTTCTGCTGACAGAGGTATTTTTAGGTATGTGCGTGTTATTCGGCAGGGATCTGATAATTATTGTGTTAGGCATAAGTAAAATATTCTCTTCCGTATTGCCGTTATTGCTTTATTCGGGAACAGTGATCATTATTATTATAGTCATTGTTATTAGTAGTAATATTATTGTCGCCATTATCACTGTTATCATTATTGCCATTATTATTATTTATTATTATTATTATTGTCATCATTATTACTATCATCATTATTATTATCAAAGTCGTCATCATTATTGTCATCATAGTGGGGTGCGCTCGCACAGTTTAGCGCAATTCTAAATTCGAAATTCTGGACCTACATCGGCTTGCGATCCTATCAACTGACCAATAGTCAGTGAGTATATGCCTACATCTCATCTTCGATCGCACTACTATAACTTGTGGTTTTCAGTGCAATATGCCGATGCAATTGTTGCAATACTCGATCAGCGGAAAATGCTTTTCTGTCATCCTCGGAACACAGACAACGCAGCACGACCGCGCTGTTGGCTGGCAACAACTAAAGAGATGATAAGAGGGAAAACGCTGTAGTTCTTTTATTATTGGCAAACGGTGTTTCTGCTAGCGCCAAGCTGCTCATACTTTGTTTATTGTTCATTGGTAAAAAAAACGTTGTTGTAGAAGTCACACAAAAAACCGGAATGCATTGGAACAAGTTAATGCTTAGTGAGCACCTAGTGCAGTGGTATAGTGCGTCGCGTCTGGGCGTGAAGAAGAGTGGTTCGAGTCCTTGTCGGTTTACAGTTCTAAGAAGCACCATCCTATACTATTATAAGAATTGAGTGGATTGATAATATATAAGCGCAGCAGTAACAAAAATGCATTCCAAACAATGCACAACAAGGAAGTGTTGTTGGCTTAGCAGATCTCGTGTTAATAGCAGAGTAATCCACTGCGGTGTTTGTCATACCAGTGCAACCTTTTTTTTATCCTTAGGCTTACTCTGAATGAAATAGGAAGTGATTTTTAGGAAAATAGTGGGCTGAAGCAATGAAAAGTGGGCCAGAGTTAAATAAAAATAGGTAGTGCGTGGGTAAAATTTATTATATTTATGTAAACTTTTTAAAAATACTATGAGTGTAGTAGAAAAGGGGAGAAAATTTATAAAAGAGTTGTGATTTAGGAAGTGACTGAAAAGGAGTGCTTTGGTCCGCTGAGTAGCACAGTTAAAATTATGAGTCTACTCCGTCAAAATTTTGCATTAATTCGGAAGTATACCGTCTTGAGGTTGCCGTCCTGCTTAAAAAGCATGCTCGCTGATGCTCCTCTTCATTCAGATTCGGCTGATCTACTGCGCTTCCAGGAGTAAAATTCTCACAGCTCCTAGGATCATCAGCAGCGCTTGAAGCTTCAGCCTCCGTTTCTTCGTGGAGCCCTCTCTGGCGTTTTGCCTCTTCCCATGCAGCAGTTAGCTCTTCGGCATTCAAAAAGAGTACCACTACCCTGTTGTGGAAGTGATATATTCAAGAAGCTGCAACTTGTTAAAATGCCATGGTACTGATCGTTTGATTTGCGCCTATGAACAAATAGCTATGCTTCAAGCAAAGAGCTCAATTTCTTATTTAATATGCCAAACCCAAAAACACATCCTTAACTTAATTCAGTGGTACACGTATAAACACCAAAGTCTGAGAACTCCGACGGATCTCGCAGCTGCCTGCTCCTGAATTTCGCACACAATCTTCTTCTCCCCGCTCAGTCCGCCTTTTGAAGTCGCAGTCTTCTTCCAGTCCGCCGCATCTCAGAGCCCCTTCTTTTAGGAATAACTGCTTTCCCTACCTTAGAAGTCCTTACTCCTTTTCCGTCCTTGTAATCACCCTTTGCATATTTTTTATATACACATAAAAGAACAAAATGAAACATTCTAGAATAAATTTTATCTATCACTCCCCGTATCTGATACGACACATGGTTCCTGGCATCTCCATCCAATATACTGAAATATCAAGTAAGATTGCTTAAAAATTATATATTCTAATGAATCAGGTAAGTTAGCAGTCTATGTTTTTGAAATAAGATTTCTGAATTCTAGCAGAGCTGAGCTTCTGGCGTTCTTATCATTGCGATCAAATTTCTTTTGGTTGGTTAATTGTCATAATTTTGGTAAAAAAAGGTACATTAATATGTGAAAAAGGTACATTAATAAGTGATACTTGTGAAGGATCGAAGGACTTTGCATAGCTGCTCTAGGCATTAAGAGAATTCAGCACGACTGTTTGTTACTTTGGCTGTACAGGGCGTTCCAAAACTCAACTTCAAGTCACACGAGCTCATTGCACACCGGAATGACACATTCAATTAACTCAAAATTGGGTGATGTAACAGACGTGACAGGTTCTAGGATGCTCTTCTTGGTCTTCGAGCTGCAATGCCCAGCTGCTACCAGCTTTCTCTGAGAGCAACAATTATTTCTCTGCACGTCAAAAATTTCGTCACCATTGCAACGCTATCCCATTGGTACAGAAATGCTAAAATTTGATCTTCGCAACGTTCGAGCACAAGGAAGAGCAATAAAACGCTTATAGCACCTGGGAATTCCAGGCGCAACGTTACTTAACTTGACAAATCAGACGAAATGTTGTGTTTAGAATGTGATATGGTCGTAAGCAATTTTTACTCCTTTCATCTTATATTCATATATTCCTTTAAGCAATCACCAACTAGAGTGATGCTTGCAAATCAGTTCTCAAGTCAAATATTCCTGAATCAAAGTGAAAATTCTCGCTAGTCTGTTACTCAGCACTGCAATGTTCGGTAAAAGCTCTCAATCCCTACCAATAATTGCAGTGTATTTTCACTGCCTTTTCAATCTTAGTTTCTCTTCCATTACTGCAGTGTAAAAAATTGGCCAACGCACGGGCTGCCCGTGCGAAGATGCGTTTTTTGCAGAGTTCCCCGCAG